CATTTCTTCTGAATAATAAAGAAAAAGAGTGTCCCCAAAGGGAGGTCAAATTTCTTAGGACAATTTTGTCCCTAATATTTCATGCATTACAAAATTCCCCGTGACAGTCTTGGATATTTCTGCTCTTTTGTGCTGAGGTTTCCATTTGTTGACAGAGAGCAGAGGGGAAACTATGATGCACGTTGAGCTCTGCCATGGGTTTCCTGTCCACAGACTGGAGAGCAGCCAAGAACCTCTAACTTATTCTCCTTCTCTTTCACGGCCATACTCTACTGCAACAACACACATTATTTATGAACACACCCCTGAGACAGCTCTGCTTAAAATTTTTTTTTACAATGCTTTACTTTTCTTTTTCAGTGTCACTGTCTGACAATTGAAATGTTTAATGTCTTGAAAACTCCCACTAAAACAAAACACTCTGGTTCTTAGAATTTGAATGCTAAAAAATGCTTTCACTGGTACTGCTATGAAACCTGCTCTGCTTGTTGTTGAAACGAGACTGTGGGAGAATCCATCTATACTCACACTATCCATGTGATCTGTACTTCACACCTTGTCTGCCACAGTGTCAGTGACTAAAATAAGTGGCAGTCCCCTTCTGCTGTAGCAGCACAATGTTAAGACCACTTCCCATCTGACAGTGGAAATTGAATGCCGCCAGATTACACTATAGTCTCCATTCCCAGACCTAATGATTTCCAGTTGCGGGGATTCATATTACATACCAAGCAACAATTGGATACAATGATGGAAATAACTAGAAAACTTCTCCAAGAGCCTAATAAGTTTTCCACTTGGTGAATGAAAAGAGGGAAGTAAGGAAAAACAGACAGTTATTTGGACAGAGCTAGACATCAGCTCACCAGTTTTGATTCCATCTGTGGGCAAACTGAACGAGAAGCATCAACTGGATGATAATAAAGAGAAAACCTCCAGCAGCCCCCACATAACGCCAGACTGAAAGACAGAAAAAGAGAGAGAGATGAGTCTAAGGTCTTTCCCTCTGGCTGATACTGTATGACAAACAAACACTGCTTTCTGCTAAAGAAAAACTATTAATATTAGTTTATTCAATAATACTAAAATAACACTGCATACTATACTATGGAACCGCTGTTGTTTGTGAAAGGAGTTGAGATATACTTCCATTAAAACAAGTGCTCTGATTTATCTCTACGAGGATAACATTTCTATCAATATTATTTTCACAGTAAGTAGGGTTTAAACTGAAGTACGACACTCGAGATCTTGTGTAACATTCCTCTAAATATGTATGTAATCATGAGGTCTTTGACACGGGCAGCAGAAGACTCTGTTTGAGTTACTGAAGTTGATGAACCACAGAGACATGCTCACAGTCTGTTAACTGTGTTGCTCTTGGACATTTAAGTAGGGGAGATATCTCAACACCACTGCAGGCTCAAAGTAGAGAATAATAAAACTTTCCAGGAATGTCTCAAAACTTCTCAATAAAATGTTTCAATAAATTTTTACAAGCCTCTTTAAAGCGCATGAAAACAATAGCAGCGAATTTAATACAAAGAAAGCAAGTATGTGAAAACTGATCATACTAAACCTTCTAGAAACCTTTCTTGATTTGGGAGAAAGAATCCGCCTGCACAGCAGGCCAGCAAAGCCACAAACTTAAAGAACCAGAACCTGCAAATAAAAAGAAGAATTTGTTGATTTAAGACATAATATTTTGAATAAGGATAATAATTCTAAAACTGGCAGTCTGGCTTTACAATATACTGTAAGACATGGGTTTTCAAACAGTTTGAGAACAACAGTAAGTGAATTTAAAGTCAATGTACTAAAGTTTAAAAGAATGTATTAAAGGGGTCATATGATGCGATTTCATTTTTTCCTTTCTAATTAAGTCAATTTACTAAAGTTTAAAAGAATGTATTAAAATGATCTGGAAAATAATATTAATTCAAAATAATTATTACTAAATCAGCATTCATTTTACACAACAGATATTGATCCAAAGCAATTTTGTTTCAAATTCTACACTTTTTTTTTTCTCTATACAGAACCCAGTTTAAAGATACACTACTGTTCAAAACTTTTGGGTCAGTAAGACTTTTTTCTTTTTTTTTGAAAGGAATTAATAATTTTATTCGGCAAGGATGCCTTAAATTGATCAGTAAATATGCTTATAATGTTACAAAAGATTTCTATTTCAAATAAACATCGTTTTAGAACTGCAGAACTTCCTATTCATCACAGAATCCTGAAAAAAATATGTATCACGGTTTCCGCAAAATATAAAGCAGCATAACTGTTTTCAACATTGATAAAAAAAAAACAGCATATTAGAATGATTTCTGAAGGATCATGTGACACTGAAGACTGGCGTAATGATGCTGAAAATTGAGATTTGCCATCACAGGAATAAATTATATTTTAAACTATATTAAAACAGTTTTCATGTAATATTATTGAATAATATTACTGTTTTAGTGTATTTTTGATCAAATAAATGCAGCCTTAGTGAGCATAAGAGACTTCTTTCAAACTAAATTAAAATCCCACCAACCCCAAATATTTACCATGATACTTTTCCTACATTATGTCATTCTGAGATTTTGTCTGTTGCTATCTAATATAGGATTTCCTGTTTACCCATGTTAGTATGTCATCATAGGGTAGTTTCAGGGAGATCTAAATGAGGATGTTATTGAGGGATTTAGGCCTGTTTTTTTTTCTAAAGGCTTGTATGAATGTGCAGAGCAGGATGGAGCTCAGCCTTATACTTCCTCACCCTGCATTTGCCTACAACACAAAGATCTGATTATTGCGACATGAAGTGCTCTCATGTGGGGCTAAACCCTCCCATTCGTAGGGGTAAAGCTCGTCTCCAAGTGCCATTTCCTCTGGACAGAGCTTTAATTTAATACCTCTATTCAGGGCTTTGGTTGTGGGTGAATAATGGAGCATTAGGAGGGGCGTACAGATGGAGGCCGCGGGCCAAACAATACACAGTGGTCCCTATAGCTCCTGTGAACCTGGGCCCAGAGGGGCCACGGAGCAAAGCAGAGGAGGAACAAGTGTTTCCAGTGTAAATACCACTTCAAAAGTGTCTGGATTGACTGCTTACCCGTTGTGAACAGCCGCCCGGCATCCCGTGCTGGTTCGCACACGAATGGTGAACACAGAGAATAAGAAGAAAAAGCAGGCCATGCCGAAACAGACTTTATACACGGCAGAATAGCCCACTAGGGTACTGCAATTCTCCCCCGCATTGAGCTTATTGCACATTTCGGTGTAGAAAGGAATCTGGGAAGAGCACAAAACAAAAGAGGAATACAATTACATTTTGAGTAACAGAGTAGTTGCTGTCGCTTCAGGGCAAGGCTATCGTTAAACTCAGTCCAAACTGTGAACACACCCCTTCACGCTGGGTGCCAAAAGATCAACTTAAACTCAAGAAACACCTTAAAAATACACACACCTTAAATAGACATTAAAAAATGTAAGAGCATTACTTACCATCCAAAAGTCCTAGATTTGTTTTTTAAATTACATTAAAAAAGGAAAAGAAATGAATACTTTCATCTAGCAAGAACACAAATTAATCAAAAGTTACATAAAGATTCTTACTCTGTTATTAAAATCAATTATGTTCTTTTAAACGTTCTATTAAATAAAATTCAAAAAATTGTTTTCAACATGGAAAATAATCAGAAATGTTTCTTGAGCAGCAAATCAGCGCATCAGAATGATTTCTGAAGGATCATGTGACACTGAAGACTGGAGTAATGATGCTGAAAATTCAGATATGCACTGGTATTTTAAAATACTAATAAAATCTTTACATTAAAATGTAAAAAATATACATATTTCAAATTGTAATAATATTTAACCATTTTTACTGTATTGTTATCAAATAAATGGAGCCTTGGTGAGTTCAAAAACATATTAAAAAATCATAATACCATCATGTATAATAATAATAATAATAATAATAATATGGTACAGTGGTGGTAATCAAATAGTAATACAATGCTACTTTTTTACAATTTTACAATGTACAATGGTAATAATGATTATAATATTCAAATCCATTGTACTGAAAACTATAGTATTACCATTGTTCATGTCTAAAAACATGGTATTACCATGGTTTTTCTTTGTAAGTGTATTAAAGCCAGTCAGATTCAAACAAGTATTTATGGTTCTCTTTTGTGGTTTTGAAGAGAAAGCTGGCACAAACTACAGGGCACTGGTCAATTCTTAAAATATATTTAGGTTCCCAGCAGTGCACATTATGTAGGCCTGCTACAATGTTGGGAGGCCCTGCTCCTATTATAACATGGACCATCATATAACATAAAGTTATTAAGGTGTTCCTCCATCAGAACTCGCTCCGTCCCTGTGTTGGAACCATGAAAGACCACCAGGAGAAGATTTTATGTGCTCTTAAATTTGAAACAACTATTTGTGAAAAACCTTCAACAGCTATAAATCTTTGTGTCTGGGGCACCTGAGTGGCAGTTCTTTTGTGCCTCACCAAAAGGCAGCGCTTTTATAACGGTGCTGGTCTTTTTTAGTGTCTGGGTGTTTTATACTCATGGCATTTACTCAGTAAGCACTTATTGTGGTGCTGAGAGCAAAAAAAAAGAGCTTGAGCTCACGTTACACACCCAGCGCCTTTCAACCGCATTCAGTCACCGCTTTTGTGTAGCTACAGAAAAACAAAATGCAGTTTTACTGAAAGAGTTATTATACAGTGTGCAACAATTCCTGTGTTAGACGTTATGATGGAGCATTGATACTCTGTCTTACATTCCTGCCATGCTTTGAAACAGAAGAGTCGTGTAGCTCTTCTTTGTGTTTGTCTGAATAATATGGGCTAGCTGCCTGCAAATAAACCCTTGATCCCTCGATTGACCCTTTCTTTAACGAATGAATTAATGAATTAATGAATGCATAAATTCAGTCCTTACAAATGCTTCAAATGTCCCTTTCCTTTTAAAAAGATCTGTCCAGGTAGTAGAGGACATAATGCTCTTCTGTTAGGTAAGGTAAGCTTTTACTTATTTAGCAAAAAAAAAAAAAAACAACACTGAAGAAACAGACTTTAGAAAAAGCAATGATGGTGGCCTGGTGTTTAGGAGTCTGTCTTGCAACACAAAAGTCTGAGGTTCGAATACAGATTTACTTTTTATTTTTTAAATATATTACAAAAAACAGCAAATGTGTCTCTTTAACTACATGTCTTATGAACTCAGTAACGATACTGATCTAAGTTTCACAAACCTCAAGTACAAAAAAAAAACTTGCTTCATTTCAAGAAAATGTATATAATATAAAAAAAACTGTTGCAAATGTCTCTTTTAACCTGAGTTCTGCAGGTGAGTCAACTGGTGATTCAGTCTTTTCTAATCTTTTCAATCTTTTCTGATAAAGATTCAGACTGATTCAAACCAGTAACTTGTGTTAAGTAGTAAGCCTTTTTGAAAGATTAATTTCAACAAAAATGGCTCATAAAAGCAGTGCTATTATCATTAACTAAAACTATTACAAATATTTCTGTTAAACTAAATACATTTTTTTTTTTTTAAAGAATAGAATTACTTTAACAAAAATTCATAAAACTATAAAGATATATTTTATACTATATATAAAACCAAAAACTAATAAAAATGACAAACACATTAAAATTTTAATGTTTCTACAACAAGATATGTTTTGTTTTTTTAGTTTTTTGTCATTATTCCACAAAATTCAAACTGCAAAATAATATATATAAAATATGCCTCAATCTAAAAGCATCGGTTGAGACAGAAGTTGACAAGTCAGGCCCACACAGAATCTGCACCCACAGAGCTCAACTAAAATACCACAGATTTCCAAATGTTTTCAAAGTCTCTCATTCACAAAGTTAGAAACATATTACCTGGCCACACTGTGTGTTCATTTATTAATATTTTTGCTTATAAATAACTTGACTATGCTTTCAGTTAGCAATAAGAGTGTAGTAATCTCAACTCTGATTAACCCATTTAAATCCATACTAGTGTTCTGCATATTTCCCCCCCAAAACAGAACAGACAATATGAAAGTGTGCCCAACTAATAGGTGGGTTTAACTTGAGCTGGAACTTTTTTTTTTGCAGGAAGGCAGATGCCCAGCAGCAGGTCTGAGCACCCCTGACCTGAGACCATATTTAATGGTCTTTGTATATTAGGGAACCTGATACTAAAAAATGCAAACGGAGAAGCTCTGAACAAACTCACATTTTCTTGCATTGCTGTCTCCACAGTGGGGGACATCATGATGACACAGGTCACCGTGACCAACATGAAGAAGAGGGTGTACATGAAGCGTGTCGAGGTGGACTGTTTGATCTTGGGACAGCAGCCGCAGCACAGGGAGCAGGCAGCCGATCCACAGCAGCAGGCCAGCTGCAGAAATACAGCACACGAGTGAGTGGGACACATGCAAGTGCTTAATAATAACACTTCACAAACCATTACAGTGATCTACAATGAAACAAATGGATTTTAAAGCACATCTGCCTATTTAAAGGTATAAAATAAGCCAATTAAAGTGTTACTGTAAACCAAGGGCAAAGAAAACACAATCTTTTAAAGATTAAGTAATATATACATTTCATCTGAAATAAACAAATACAATGATGTACTGTGAAACTGAGCAAATGCATTGGGGGGACTGTGAACATCTTATTGGTCGCCATACCCTTTAGCAACACAAATGCCTCATTCCTATTGGCTGTAAGCAATGTAGAGCTGGGCTGTTTCTATGAAGCAGCTTGATTCACATGACGCAAGACAAGGACATAACATGAGGCTCCGAGATCAGATTGAGTAGATACAGAATCAGTACAAATTTCTCTGGACATTTCAGAAAATCCCTTCCACAATTATTTGAACTGACAAATAATTATATTATGTGATGTTGTGTACTGTACGTACAAAATCATCTAGTCATAAGTTATCAATTTTTAAAGGTTTCAATAATAGGTTAAAGGTTAACCTAAAATTAAATTAAATTAAGGTTAAAATTAAAGGTTTCGACTTGTCGAAAACTAAAATGAAATCTACAAGAGGTGGTGTTAAAATGTGTTGTTTTCCAAAAACAGATACTAATTGATATACTTTTATATACTAAATGGATAGTTCACCCAGAAATGAATATTCTGTCATCATTTACTCACTTGCATGTTGTTCCAAACCTGAACGAATTTCTTTTATGTTCAACAGAAGAAAGAAGATATTTTGAAGAATACTGGTAGCCAAACAATTGATGGAAACCACTGACTATGGAAGTCAATGGGGACCATGAACGGTTTGGTTGCACACATTCTAAAATATCTTCTTTTGTGTTCAGCATAACAAAGACGTTCAAGTTTGGAATAACTTGAGGGTGAGTAAATGATGACAGAATTTTCATTTTTGGGTGAACTATCCTTTTAATTGGATCATTAATTTCAACAACCTAAAAATTAAGAAATTGTGACAATAATGCTGATGATTCTCTGATTCGGCGTATTACAGAAAGATCTTAACATTAGAATCCCATCTTATCTGTTAGGTAACCATGGCAATTTCAGTTAGGACCTCTTTTAGGACAAAAGCTATTACAGAACAACATTTCCTAAGTGCATTATCTTATTCTTAACTACAGATAGGAAAACGGTATTACAGAACCATCCTAACTCGCCAAAAAATTCAAAATTCAAAAAACAACTTCAAACCTTTTTGAAATCCAACTGTAAAAAAACACATTACATTAGCCCTTTTCGAGAACGGCATAACATTTATTAATCATACAAGATGAAGAGAAGTGAAGTTTGATGGTGGAGAGACTTTTGAAGGACCCAAAAGATGTGTCGCACTTTGATGATAAAATACTCATAAATGATTACAGACTCCCCACCACACATGATTTTGCAGTTAGTTCAAGTGAACTTTATTGTCATTCCGCTATATGTGCAGACTGCAGACGTACAAATGTCATGCCTCACAAGACCACAGTGCTACATATAGACAGACATATAACCCCTATAAAAAATATATATACATAGAACCTATACAGTATATATAGTTGACCAATTGCGACCAACATTACAGAGGCCTCAACGGATCACAACCGGTCATTCTGCAAGTTAAAAGCACGCCGGTGTTTCTCCATTTTGATGTTTTATTTTTTTTCAGAAGCCACTTGGTAACAGACCTGAGATTCCTGACAGTTGATTATCGAACTCGATCGAGCGGATTACGATTTCCTAATATAACATAAGATTTTGTAAAATAAGATCAGAATCCTAAATCAAGTTAAGATTTGCTTCTGTAATACGAATTTGTGAAAAATCCTCAAATAAATTATCATATCTTAAGTTAAGACCTAATATAGGAAGTTTATGTAATATGCCCAAGCGTAAATGTTAATGAATTTGACAGTAAACAGCACATCACTTTTCAGAGCTATGTAACAAGACACAGAGAGCAGGAATCAGGAAGACACATCCCTCTCTCCAGACAACAGGTGGTCAGCATGTACGACCCCAACCCATGACAGCACCATGGAGTCCCACTCGCTGGTCAACACTGGTCGAGTGGGACAGCACTCTACATCTTCTCGCAAACAAACCATCCCCCATCTCCTGCCCCGGAGACAGTTCTCATGCCCCTACAAAGAGCCCTTCTCTAACCCTCTCCCGCAACCAGCAGGAGTCTGGGTGAAAGGTGATGGACTATGAGTAAGGACAATAACCTGGACATTGTTTTCTTAACAATTCAGACTGGGAAATTCTCAAGCTCCTCAGAAGTGTGTGGAGGAGGAGCTCTTTGAAACTACATCCAAAGGTTGGAAGAACACGGTGTTGTAGCAAACAGATTCTAGGTTTGTAGTTCCGCCGTGTTCACACCCAGCAGAAAAGTCAACCATAACCAGAAAATAAGGATCTTAAAGCTATTACAGAACTGCTGGGTGCTAGAAACAGTAACTTTTACTTCCTTTAATGAAAAACAATAGTAAGCCAGTCAATGCTGCACAATAAGTTTGGACTGCAGTGACTCAACACTGAGGAAAAATGATAACTCAAGAACTGTAATGTAATGTAAGAAATTATCAGCTGGAATTATCAGTAAAACCCAGAATTTCACTTTTGCTTTTTGATTTGCTTTTTTAAATAATACAATTAAATTAATGGAATTGTCAAGAAAAATTCAGATTTTTATAGAATGTTACATTTTCTAATAAAACTTTAAAAATCCATAAAAATGCTATTGTAGTTCTTTAGTTTCATTAGCCTAATTGTCAAACAAAATGATGAGCGCAGAAACATTTTCCTGTCAGGAGAGTATATTTTATGAATTCAACTGATTAGACATGCTTTTTAATTAATACAATTTAATTAATGGAATTGCCAGTAAAATTCAGAATTTCATAGAATTTGCATTTTCAAAAAGAATTTTAAAAATCCATCATAACTCCTTTAAAAATGCTTCTCTAGTTCTTTGCTGTAATTTTATTTGTCAAATAAAATAAGCATGGAAATATTCCCTGTTTTAAAGTTTTAGGAATTCAACTGATTAGACACATTTTAATTACTAATATTTAATTATTAAATAATGATACCATTAAAACAGAATCCAGAGATGTTAAAACACTAGATGACTTAACAAGACACTTGGCAGCCAAACAAATAATCGAACACAGTTTAAACTGATCCCTGGTGCATGTTACAAATGGCCAAGAACATTAATAGACAAAGTTATCCGATATATTTCACTGAGCTCAAGTATGATCACTGTCGAAACTCAGCAGACAATTCATCTGTAGTCTCCATGTCATGAATAGCTGCTTTGTGGGTCTGTTAGCCAGGCAATTGTACAGCTGAGGCAAAAATGTATTACTTCACTGTTTGACGTGTCGTGTACACAAAAAACAAAAAAGTGCTCTTTTGTCCAGTGCGAAGAGTGCCCATAGTAACACTGAAGAGTCAAACCTTCCTGCTAGAATCGCACTGCACACCGTTGATGGATGGATGGCGATTACTTGACAGCTTTTTCAGTTGCAAATACAGAGTCAACCCTCTACATTGCGAGTAAATCACTCTCATATGCGACTAAATCTTCACTCTGGGCGACTAAATGATGTCCAATATTATATATACACACATATATATATATACACATACACACACATATATATATATATATATATACACATACATTCAATTCAATTGCCAAGGTGTTCGTAGAGGGCTGAGAGCAATCCAAAGGCTCACGGGAAAAGAGTAAACACCCTCTACTATGGTAATGGAGGAAGTCAGAGAGTGAAGGCTGTGTGGAATTCACAAGGGTGAGAATGTCTCACTACTACCCACAAAGTCAACACAGATTGTGCTAAGCTTATTGTTTGCTCTCCCTGAAGAACGCTGCCGAAACGCGTTGGAGAGTTTTTAGATTTCTTGGATGTAGCCATTTGATAATAAAGGCTTTTTAATTCACAAGAGTGCCATGGTCATTCTGAAGTATTCTTTGATGGACTGTTATAAACCCTAGATCAGAGAGCACCTTGACCTTACAGCACCAGAACCCCGAGACGCACTCGCTACTATTGGACTTTGCTTGACAGATTGTCCTGCCACAAATGTCTGAATTCAGTTCGCTAGAAGAAGAAAAAAAAACTCACTAGCTGAGATTTGAGGAAAGTGTAAAAATCCACAAAAAGCCCAGAGGATAATGGGATGTGGGGTACACGTTTTGGCCTATTATGGTGACATCTTCTTCTTCCGTCTTCATATTTCATGCCGATTCATTAGTCAAAACAGAGAAGCACACTGGAGACACTACACATCTTTGTAGTTTTCATGTGGGTGTTTAGACAAATCAGATCTTACAAATAAATGTACTTCCAAGGCCTGATCAAGAACAGCGTGTCATTGAATTCATTACTAACAAATAATGAAGAAGATAATAGATACCCTTCCTGTATTAACAGATCTGCAACGGTAACTTGGAATTCAGGCATGAATGTTTTCACAGTGCAATGTTACTAGGCAATAAAACCACCATTTTTATAGAATGCATCATTTCGGCTGATTCATAGGACAGTCAGATATGACTCAAGCCCAGACATCTGAAGGAGATATCACAGTTAGATTTCCAGAAAGTTTCCCAGAAGGACAAGAACAAAGAGTCCAAGTTGCAAGAGCTGAGAAACATTTCAGAACCTAAAAACATGCCACAAAACATTATATTCTGCTGTACATCTTGACAATAATTAGTAGGCTTCTTCACACTGAAAATTTTCTCTTCGTTTACGCAACCTCATGGCATCCCAGATGTATATGACTTTAGATAAACACAAAACAAGATTTTTTATAAATTGCCCATCCCTGTGAGTCCATATAATGCAATTGGATAGTAACCCAAAAGTTGACACTTCAACCCATATGACAATATATACTAATAAAATTAGGGCTGCACGATAAATCGCATGCGATATTTAACGCGCATCTTGTCAGAAAAGCCGGTTCTGTAATCAGCGGTAAATCTCCATCACGTGCGTGCTTTCACATTGAGCAGCATTAACTACACAGAGCCGTTGTTCACTGACGAGCTGCGCAAAACCACATGCGATTTATCGTGCAGCCCTAAATAAAATATTAGAAAAATACTTTAAATCTTAAAATTATTAAACATTGTTTACAGCCAACTGTCATACACATTCATGAGAGCATTGTGAAGTGTTATGTTTATGTCAAAGGTTTTTTTTTGTTTTTTTTTTTAAGTAGGGATGCCACAATACTCAATTTAATATTTAATATAATTACGATTCAATACGCGCTTGTGAACTGCATTTTTTTTTCGGTTTTGCATTTAAATAATTTCTATGAGTTTTATTTCTCTCCGAATTGGCTGTGTGTGCCCATGAGTTCATGCGCTGAGATGAGCAAACGCCTCCCCGCTTATAATAAGCATTTGAAAAACAGCACACGCCAAACATCTTCCCTTCTAATGACTTGCAATGAGAAGCGTTTCTAAACCTGCTGTCCAACAAAAGAGAACATTACGACATGAATTTACTCCACAACAACAGTCAAGTGTTAAATAACTTCCTTTTCTGATCTGATGTGGCTTATCACAGAATGAGGCAGAAAATATATTCTATACTGTAACAAAGGCTATGTTGATTAGCAATGGATTATAAATATACTTATTTAATATGAAAATACCCGAGATGGATTGAAGAACACAGATACATCGTATATTGTTACAGTCGTATGTTTATCGTCTTCATGTTTAATCAGTTCAAGCGTTTCTATCTTCTTTTTATTCAGCTACAGTGATAGCGATGTCTTTGTCCATATTAGGGATTTCCTGGAACGTCATGAGTTCTATTATGTAATGCAGCAACGTCATTTGTGCGCGGCATTCAACAACAGAAACAAATAAGAACAACATTAAAGGGGTCATATGATGCAATTTCATTTTTTCCTTTCTCTTTGGAGTGTTACAAGCTCTTGGTGCATAAAGAAGATCTGTAAAGTTGTAAAGACTAAAGTCTCAAATCCAAAGAGATATTCTTTATAAAAGTTAAGAGTTAGCCACACCTACCTAAAAC